ACACACACGCACACGGAGTATATGCTTGAATAATGCATGCAAGTGAATGCCTTTTTGTGGGAAGTTGCAACGCAGTATGATCGTTGGGTCGCAGGTCTCTGAAATAAGAAATAAATAAGATCAGTAGTAAACGTGAGAGTGGTAAAGTCTTACAGAGAGAAACATAGGCATGCAAGCCTCTGATTATTTTTTGAGGGAACTTTCTGTTTTCTTTGCCCATTACCCAGTCGTCCAAAAAATGCGTCCAAGCAGTAATAATCACGTGCCTTTTCAGCACTCGCGCCTCGTCTACTCAATGAAGAGGGGGAGAGCGAGCGGACAAGAGGAACAGGGGAGCGGAGGAGGAAGAAGGATTCCTTCAGGAAAACAGCCACAACCAAAAGGGCTACAAACGCGGAGGCGTGCAAGTCGCAATTCGACAAAGCAGCAAAAAAAAAAAATGATTTTGCTCCGCTCCCCCATTCACCGTCCACACCACAGCCCCTGCAAAGGTATACATGGGCGAGTTGCAGGCGTAGAAGGATGCCCGTATTCTCTCCTCCGTGCAGGTTCTTTTTTTTTTCTTTTCATTATTATTATCTTGCATGAGGATGTTTCTTTTGGTTTGCAGCGCCTCGCACGCACGCACGCACCGAGTAAGTAAGAAAAACACCGGGGCAATTACAGTTGAGCAAAAATAACCTTCTTTCTCTTCCCGAGTCACCGGCTCCCTTTCGTTGCGAAGAGCCATCTCTCCGCCGCGGAAGAATATCGTCCTCCACACCCCCTTCTTCTGCCGGAGCACATTGCAAGTGGAGGTCGGGAACTGCCGTGAGCCACCACAGCGTGGCGGGGGCAACGATAACAAACAGCAAAGACGAAACAAAACAGAAACAGAGAAGAGCCACCCAAACGAGCCCCGGCATTGTTAGCACGCCGCACACCCACAGAACTCTTCTTTCTGCATCCGTCACTGGCGCCGTCCTAATCTCGTCTCCCGCCGCCCTTACCACGTCCCAGCGTTGTCCGACGCGAGGCACCTCTCTGTCCCGCAGTTGCAGTATTATCAGTGTGCAAATTGCCGCCGAAGTGTGACCCACCGCCGCCCCCACCCTTTACATCCGTGACGTACCGCTGCAGTATTACGACAAGCAGAGCCAGCTGCCCTAGTATCAAGGCAATAGTGAAATGCTCACTTTGCAACGCCATGAGGTGGAATCTCACTGATCGCGTGACGTAAAATCGCAGAAGCCATAAATATACTCTTTCCAGGTACGTCAGTAGTCCTTCGCAGTGCCTCCAGCAAAAAGCCTGATGACGTTCATTGATTGGGTAAATGTGGTACCACGTACAGTCTAGAAAAACATCGGCTAGGGGGCTCGCTACCAAGCGCGGCACGCGACCAGCCTCGACGACACAAGTTAGACACCTTTCTTGTTCCCTTTCATTTATGAGATACGTCACAAAGTCATCGTAGCGACGACTCAGAAGGTCGGATACACCCTGCTCTTTCGACTCAGGCAGCTGCCCCATCTCCAGCATGATCATTGATGCTCGTTTCGTCCTCTCCGCACGATCCCTGTCAAGCGCCGTGTCACAGCCGAGGGTGTTTGGGTTTTCCTCGCATGCGCGGACAAAGGCGCTATGTGGTTTATCGTAACCCTGCGTGGCCCGTATGAGCGAGATGCTCCGAGACAGTTGAAAGGCGTCCAGGCCGCGCAGAACTTCGCCACAAATGCTGCAATCCTCTGTCTTATGAAGAAGTCGGCTAATTTCCAGCATCGCACTCTCCTGCGTCGGCAATCGTGAGAGATCGGCGCAGAGGAAGGACACCACACAGGCAATAAGCACCATGCTAAACAACATCTTCGCAGATAAAAACATATCTTTGCCTGTTTATTTACTTATTTGCTTTTTGCCCCTTCGTTTCCTGTTGTTGTTGTTGTTTTTTTTTTGTGGGCGTCGATTGTGGTGGTTTGTCTTGGCTGCCGCTTGTTGCCGGCGGCTCGTTCCGTGCCACCCTCCACCCCTCAGGCCTCCAGCCTCCGCCGCGCACACCGACACCCTTACCAACGGCGTCCACGCCACACCCCAACCAACTTGCCAATGCGCCGCTGCCGCACCGTTGCAACAAGCCACCCTTATCCGTCGGTCTACAGCGCCACTCACGAATGAAATTGGGAATATGTTGCTACTGTCGGGTTCCCTGAAAGCAGCAACCGCCAAGTATGTCCCTTCTTTTTTTTATTGCCGCCTCCGCTACACGTGACGGAGGCCCAATACACCACCGCAGACAGCAACAGCCTCGTGGGATTCTAACACAAGGTAAGCACGATAGTGCGCAGTGCCTCCCACTTTGACACGTACCACAAACTCCCTTTTTCTCCTTAACCTCTGAAACAGCGTATCGCATGCACGCGGACAAACAGCACCCACCAAAAATTAAAAAAAAAGAAGCGAAGAGAGCAGCAAGGCGTATGAGACGCGGCAGCGGAAATTCTTCCGTCCAGCGCACGGCATCCACACACACATACACACACAGTCACACGGAGGAGGACAGTCCCTCTCTCACTGTGTGTGTGTGGGGGTCGGGGGGGGGGGTTTCCCGACGTACGGG